TTTTGGGCGGATAATTAAAAAATTCATGGGTTAACCTACTAAAAATTAAAAATTAAATGAAACCTGAAGGACCAAACAACACATTGTTTTTTGTTTGAGAGGCCTCAGGGACTTCAGTTGCCTGCCATGGGGCTCCAAACTTGGTTGATTTTACTCTATTTTCAATGGAGCTTGAATTGGTTCAGTGCACCCCTAAAGGACATCACTGATTCCTTACACGCCCTCAATGGGCTGTTTGTATTAGTCACTTCCTGCTGCGCATTAGTAATTGAACGCTCTGATTGATCGTTTCTACAAAGGAAGTCTTATCGTGTAAATCTTGTCAGAGCAGAACCGACTAACGCAATTTATCTCAGTTTTGCCTTTCTCGTCTCACATTTTAGAGAAGGATATCAGCGGTGCGGATGTCCAGGAGCACAAGAGGGAGTATAGACTTGAACCTTGGTCCGAAATCTGGAGCAGGCAAAGAAGAAGAACCGGCCACAGTATGTTGAGAAATGTCAGTTCTCTTCGAGGGTAATTAGGTTTTATTTGGGGTCAGTATTTCACAATCTGATGAACCACGGTTGAACCAGCGTTCAAATGATGAAGAGAATCACTTAGCCGTCAGACACAATTTGGTATAGCACCATGTGCTGTTCCTCTGCCGCTTCCTGGCTTACTTAGCTGATTTTTTTTGTTTTCCCTTTTTACCTGACTGATCTGTCATTTTATTGAAATAAACTATTCTGAAATGGGTCAAGATTGATGTTCAATTTAGCGTTTTTAAACCGTCTTGTCAAGAAGACGTATAATTTGTCAACCAACCGTCAACCCCTCTGATTATTGAAGTATATTTATAACGATAGATGTGTCTCAGATTTTTTAAGAGAATGAACTTATTTTGATATAATCTTCGCAATATTTGAGTTAACTTTATTAAGATGAATAGGAAGCAATGGTGTATGGGGCAGACAATCTGGTTTTATTAATTTTGCTGTTGTTGCTGTATCACAAAGATACTTAGCTAAAAATACAAATGGAAAAAAGAAAGAAAACGGAAACAAATCATAATATTTTATAATACTATAACCGTAGAAGTGTCTGCAGCAGAGGAGGACCCTAAACCCCATGGATTTAGTGAGGCTTTGGATCCCACCCAAAAAGGGAAGGGAGAGAGAAGAGGCACGTGCCCCATTGGAGGTCCATATCCCTGGTACCTCCCATTTGGAATCAAGAAATATACACCCTATGTACGAGATGCGGGTCATCAGTTTTCGGTGCCCCCGGTGGGAACAAACTGTTTACTGTCGGGTGACGTACGAGAAACCGTAAACCGAGGGTCAAGTGAAATCTGCCTTACCGTTTTATAGTCTGCTAGAGAGAGTGGTGTATTCGGGCCACTCCTTCACCAGCCCCGCTGAGAGCCAACAGATCAAAGCATTTGGGGGAAAACCAGATTTTGGCGCTTTTTTTGTCAATTACTCTGTGGGTGCGTTCGACTACAATGCTGGCAAGATTTTGTTGGGCCCCCAACCCTGAGCCCCCTCTCAATGTTGGGTCTCAATGCGCGGCCTGCGCTCCAGCTCGAGATGACAACAATGAACGGGGGACGTGGGGAGGATAAATATGTCTATGGATACGTGTCCCAACATTTTGGCCAGGATTGAAGAGCATCATCTGATGGTGTGGACTAGTAGATCACGTCTCTGAGTACACTGCGCTCGGAAACTGAGGTTATGCAAATTAGAATGACCTAACTCTCCACGCCGTGATCTTATCTTGAACACGTCACGCAGAACTCATTGTCTACTTGTCACCTGTCGCAGGACTTTATATCTGTGTAATAAAATGACAAGTAAGCTGGCATTGAAAATATCCGCCAATTCAACGATACTTGAGTCATGATTCGTTACGATGTGACATGTGTTGTAGTAATTAAATGTAGAAGTAACTTCACACTGCAAGGCCTTGACCTTGAGGGTTAGGCCTTGACCTTGACGGTTAAGCATTGACCTTGAGGGTTAAGCCTTGGGCCTTGAAGGTTAAGCCTTGGCCTTGAGGGTTAAGCCTTGACCTTGAGGGTTGAGCCTTGACATTGAGGGTTGAGCCTTGACCTTGGTGTTAAGGCTAGCGGGTCAAAGTCTCGGCCTTGAAAATCAAAATCTTTCCTCCAACACCAGCTTGGACTCAGACTGACATTTGTGAAATGGTGAAAATGATGAAGTGATGGTGTGATTTATAAATGAAATTTAAACATCCATTGACAACCCATCTTGCATCTTTATCCAAGATGCATGTTGACAATCTGAATTAATTTTGCAACTTTTTATTTAAACGATATAACTACAATCAATTTGTTTTCGCTTAAATAAACCTTAAACATGCATATTCCTGTCTCAGTTAACCTTACCTTCAACTGTTGTTTCACTATTTTCAAAGGGTGTTTTATTGCCTTGTTTGTTTTCGTGCTGACGAATATGCCCATATTCATGAGCGCAACAGTGACGCAATCCCGGGAAGAAAGCCTCACGGTAACATTGGAATGTACAAAAAGGTTACTGATGAGAAAAAGCAAGTATTAAGAAGAAGAAGCGCACTAGTGTATTCACATCAACATTTCACACAACTAAAAATGAACTATAAAATGACAGGAACAGTGCTCACTTTTAGAGAAGGCTTTTGCTGCAAAGAGGGTCTCTTCACACGTGAATGAATCAGTATTCGAGTTACAAAATAGCACGGGAAGAAGTCACTATTTAAGTCTCAGTGAAGGATGTCCCTTCTCAAACTCAAACAGAACTGTCCAAATGTACATGCCATTTCTCAAAAGTTGAAACAAATCAAATACAAGTACTGACCATTTCATATTTTCCTAGTTGCTGTGCATAAAAACTGCATGATGGACACCGTCTTTGGAGTGGCCGTAAAACATCACAAGAACTATTTTGAAAACAAAGCAAAAATCATTTAACTTAACAAACCCAAGATTAGTAATTTGGATTTCTACTCACAACCAGTGTATGGGGTTGCTCATGCACATGAATGAAAGCCCAGAATAGGCAGGTGTCCATTCAAAGCCATGGATTGTTAAACTTTAACTATCCCAGCCAAAACATTGACCAGACCTCCGAGCCCCATCCCATCTCCGGTCAATGTTGTGTCTTATGGGTCATGGTCTATGCAACCTGGGGAGGTTGTGGCTATTGACATGTCTCCTAACGGTTTTGGCCAGGATATACGCGGTTGTAAACTTGTCCCACCGTCTCGCTTGATTGACACAGCACACGTGACCATCCCAAGGTCAGGGTTGGCCCGTGTAAGCTGATCGAGCGCACCCTGTATAAACACTTGTATACTTTTACTTTTTTGCGGTCTGCAGAAAATAAGAGAGTTGCAGCAATGACCAGTTGTATTTTTGTATCGCAAGCATTCAGTTACAACAGGGAAAAAATGGCCCAGTTCTTTCGCACGATATAAAAGTGATATAATTTGTCCGGTACATCGTACCTCACGGGGCTCTGAAATCTCCAGCTCAGAGCAAATAATAATGAGCATCTGAGGCGGTAAACCAAAGGTGTCGGGGGAAGTGAGACCATGGTGGTTTTTGCAAGTCACAAAATGGGTTAATGAGAGCAATGTTTTCGTCCAGATCCATTCTATCGTTCTCACCTCAGTCCTCGATGACATTAATGATGTACGACTAACCGCAGTTAAGTCTTTTCGACTTTGTCAAAGCATTCATGGAGGCTTCAGCATGGATGATGGCTTCAGAATCAGACTCGGTTCCCCGCATTAAACACGTTCGCTGGCAAAAAGTCTCTAGAGGATTAGGGGACGAGGTAACAAAGTGTGTTTGACGCTTCAGAGCTCAGCTGATGCAAGCCGCAGCCAGGTTCTCAATTTCTGTCGCCGAAATGGGGCCAGGAAACATTGAACCGAACAGGTAGATTTTGCGATAGTGTTCGGGGGGACACAATGGTGACGCTTGCTCCCTCTATCGTATCTGCATTAGCCCAGTCACGTAAGAAAAACCTAGCCTACTTCGACTGCTTCTTTTATTGACAGTCTGTGGGATTATTCTAGAATCGCGGATAAGTGTTTCTTTATTTCTGTTCTGTGAAGGACATATTCTTTCACATGCTGCTTCGCAAATAAATTGCCACAGTCGCAAACAATAGTCTACCTTTTAAAAATTGGAAGAAAACTTCCGCAACGCTGTGGGGTAAGGGGGTGCATGGGGTATATGTGTCCCCGCGGAATCCCTGCCTTCTAGGTGACCCCCCCCCCTGAATTGTGGACAGTTCAGTGCCTGAAGGTAAAAACCCCAGTTAATTTGCGTAAGCCCCCTTGGAAAAATGTTGGCACAAGCTTTGTTGCGTGCAGTCGGGAGAATAGTTATACAAATAACCCTTACAGGATGTTATCTTTGCATCGCTACTATAATTGTTATTTCAGGTCCTTTTTTCTGTTTTGTCCGAGCGGGGTTGAACCCCCCCTCCGCGCCTATTTCCAATAACTTTTATGAAAGGCTTGAATGCCTACCCCCAATCCTTGAAATCAAAAGTGCTAATAATAAAGTTCTACCTTTGTGACATGCTTGTTGGGCCTCATCCTTTGCAGCGATGTATATGAGTCTGACCTGGAACTCATTGCTGGCACTCGGAAGTTGTATATTGAAGTGAAAAAAAAACATATACCTAGGACGCCGAAATACTAAAATCTTGGGATTTCAACTGACAATAATTTATTAATCAAAACATGCTTCAGTTGATTTTTGCTAAATTAGTGACAGATTTATTTAATTTGATAACGATGAACTGATAATCTAACAACTATTTCAGAACTTTCAAGAACTGAATAGGGCCTATAACTAGTTAAGAGATCTAACGCCTTTAATTCAAGTGTTTAAATGCAACGATTCCCAAATTATAACTACATGTTTTTATATTAACGGATGCAACAAACCCACAAAACTATCAGGAAACAAAACGTTTACCATTGCACACTCTCTAAACTTTTAGAAAGATTTTTCTGATAAAACACAGATAGCTTATACAAAGTGAAACCACGAGGGGCCCCGCCATATTGAGGCGCCCACGGAGTCTTCTACGGAATGTCTAACATTTCATGTCCTAAGAAACTATTTAATTATTATTAGCTTAAAACGTCCTCACCGAACACAGAGGACTCTCTACATCGGCGTCCGACCACTACACGGAATACCTTTTAAGGCATCAAAGGCACGTAAAAATAAATACAGTTCCCATTTAATATTAACATTACATCGTCTTCTACTGCATAAGTGGTCATAACCCGGCCGGAATATGACAATATCACATTTTCACTGTCATGATCACAAGTTAATGTCCAACTGCTTTCTATGATTCCTTTTCTTTTGCATTTTGGTCGCCCACCCAGAGGGACAAAGAGGGACTCCTGTCGATGGCAGAGTGAACCTCGTTGAAATGAAAATAAAACACATGTACGTAAGTTCTATTTTACACATTGTTTGCTCAAACAAAGGGACAGAGTCTGACGTCTTTCCAAAATTTGGCATTAAGAATAATCGCCATTGACTATGAACTCAAGCAAAAGCAGCGGTGTCCATATCAAATACAGATGGTAAAAATAACATCACTTCTGCGTCAAAGACAGCATTTAGTTTGCCAAAAAAAAAAAAAAATCTGTCACAGTTGGTGGAATCCAAACGATCTGCCCTCGTCATTCGAAAAAAATATGAGATGATAGTAGAGACACTACAAGCTGTTATTACGTAGAAATTTTTGCGAAAATACTGTATAAATCGTCATCTTTACAAAGTTTGAGTTTTAAGCCTGATAAGGAATTAACTTCCACCGCCATGTGCATGACATCAAGATTTTGTTCCCACACATAATTCCACAAAGTCCGGCTTCTACATGTATAAGGCAACAATACAATTTCGGAAAGAAAAGAAATGTGTCCAGTGAACTGCTGTGAAACATTATTCCAAACTGCGTTTCTGGCCGGAATCTGCTTGTCGACCTGACACGCAGGGAGCGCATTGCAAATTTGTTGACACTATCTGGTCATTATCATGAGTGAAATCACACTAAAGCAGCACGAAGTTTGGGAAATAGCCAGGTTTTTAAAAATCGAATTGAATTATTTCCCCTTTCCCCGGTTTTTGGCTCGGAGCTGCACGTCGAATCCAATTTCAGTTATTTTCCTGACACATTTTGTGCTGATGAGTGGTACGCTGTGCGTGCATTTATGAAGGGCTTTCGCCCTCAACCGCAGCAACGCGGGGGCCCACTGCACGGGCATGCAATTGCCTGCTGGACGAAAAGTGAGAAAAATAATTCAGTTCTTTTAATTCACATTTGCCAAAGAGTCGCACTGAATTTCACGGGACGAGGAAAAGACCACTGTATATATATGGCAAGCTTTATGCCCCTTGCAACAATTCTGTAGTTTGCTGTAAGTGGAAATTTTTGATGATTAAAAAGTGACAAGAGAACTCAGTCTATGGCTAATGTTTTTCGTGGGGAATGGGGGATAGGTACCCTGCTAAAAGCAGTAGCGTAACCCAAGGGGTAGGTCTAGGGTCCAGAGGAAGGGGCAGCCTTTTTTTTTTTCCCCTAAAAACGACATGTCACCGGAAAGCACCGTGCCCTCCGCTAAATACTGCCAAGCAGTGCAGACTGGTATTATGCGATGGGGTGGGTAATTTCAGAACGACTTTGGGATGCCGATGGCTGTTACACTGGTATGGCGAACAAAACAGATAACAAATGCGACGTCGAGGTGAAAATAGATGACAAAACTGTTCTCAAATAGATTCTTTCGCGTGTCGCAGCCAATACTGTTAATTTAAGCTACCCGATACAAATAATCTAGTTTCCAGCGACAAACAGCAACCTGGTTCGACTTATTATTAAATAATACAAGAATAATAAATATTTTCATTACTTCAAATGACACCTTAAAAATAATATACTTTTTTCTGGATGGAAATTTGGCTTTGAAAAAAGCAACTGTATTTTTTTTATATTTTTTGTTGAGTTTCAGTCTGAAAAAGAAAAACTTGTTTACCAGGATAATACATCCCACCATTGCCTTATTGTAATGCAAGAGGTTTCTTTAAGAGCCACTTCTGTGTACGAGGCAGGGGCTTAATGGTAGCAAACGGCTGACCGTATAGAATTAAACGTGATCCAGACTTCAGCGTCATCCTTTGGGTTCGCTGATTGGTTCCCCGTCCGCGTAGATGAATATCGCTATACTGCTCCCCGTCGACTCACCTCTGCGTCATGCTTACGTGTGCTGTTTTCGTTTTTTCGTTTCCTCAAAGTGGTCAAGAATACTTGTTTTCGTAGCGGGGCAGCCGAGGGGAGAAGACAGCGAGCGAGCGAGACAGAAGGATGAAGATGGAGAGGGCAGTTTCAGAGTTTTTGCAGGCTTCTTGTCGGGGTCCATCGACCGAGCTCTGGCGCTCCTATTGCATACAAATATGGCCGAGCTATGGGGATCTACTTGCAGAAATTGATATGCTCATACTTCCTTAATCCGCTGGGCTGAAATTTTATCCCTCTCTGAAGAACAGACTTGCAGACAAAGGGAGTTTTTCCTTTTAGACATTTCAGATACTTTAAGAAAACCTGTGATGGATTTGCTGCTTTTCTCAGCCACATATCTGTTACTGCAACGCTCTCCGGAAAACAAAACAAAAATAAACACAGGCCCCCATGTTTCCCTCCCCGGCCGTCCACATCCGAAGTTGTGTCTGTCATTAACCTTTGATCAACGGCTGTGAAAAATTGATTTTGTCACGGCTGCTTTTGTTTTGATTTGATTTGACTGGGATCTGGACGAGATTGCTCAGGATCAGATGCCCTGGCAGTAGGTGAACGCGGAGCGGCATTTCTCACAGACGCAGGACACAGCATCAATGTACCCGAAGGTGGGATCCACACCTGGATCGCAGTCGTCTAGCTGGATTTCTCTCTGCTCTGTCTCCCCGTAAGAGCACATGTCGTGGTCAGATATCTTGTATGGAGGCAACAACCTTGGTACCTGCAACCATCCAATCAAAAATGAAACTTCCTTTATTGAAATCAACTGGGCGGATCAGGATGACCATCGAGTAAACAAAGAAACACAACAAAGTGTTGAAAGTGTGAAAAAATTAGGCCATCGAACCGCATCAAACCGAACTACAATAAAGTTAGGCAACAACGAACGAAACAATTTACAAAACATCATAAATCAGTGGATAAACGAATTATTATCCAGTTTCATTAATTTTGCCAAGGAAATGTGAGGGCACGGTCTAATTTGAATACTTGAGCTGATTTTAAACCTATGATTCTTCTCTGCACTTTTGCTTTCTTCATGCGTTTGTCAAATGCTGAAAATGCAAACGATGTTCCTCTTCAGTTCTTTTATCACTCCAGATTTTACGGAGAAGGGGCAAACGCAAAATGCACAAAGGTGTTTAACTCGTACCCCTAACTTATTATAGAGTGTGTAAAATGACGTCGAAATCAGTGAATTTCGCACCGTTTAGCTTTATAATGCGAGATCAGACACAAAAAGTTCAACTTTTACAACAAAATAAGTCTATCCATTCAAAACAACTTCGTACTAGCTCCAGTGGTGCCCCCCTTTAAAAGTCGTCCTTCAACTAGTTATTGCTTCGTGCATGTGGCGTTGTTCAAGTTTCATGTTTGTCCGGAATTGTGCCCTCTCCGCTCGTAAACTTCTGGATGTGTCTAAGACTTGTGTGTGTTATCACGCATAATACCTTGAAGCAAGAAATATGCAAATAAAGTGATATTTCTCAAGCCATTCTGTCAAGACTTAGACCTTACTATTCAAGGGAATGCACACGTCTTGGAGATGCGGAAAAAAGAGGAAATAGGCCTATACATGGAGTCATTCATACCTCAGAGGTATGGCACCGTCCGTAGCATCCGTAGATAGTGACACGCTGCGGTCTACAACCAGGCTTTTGGGCGTAGTATTTTAGATACTGACGGGGCGTGCAAGACAAACTATCCTGTGACTCGCACGGTCTTGCGTTCATCACAACTACCAGCAGAAACCCCAAAACTACAAGATACTGTCCGGCTGTTAACCTTACTGTCGTCATAATGCTGGTCACCTGAAAAAAAATAAAAATATTATATGAATGACGAATACAGTGAATAAAACGAACCCGGCAAATTCTACACAAAGTGGAGCAAATCCATACGTCTTGGCAAAAGCTGCATATGTATTATTCACACTTCCATCAAATATAGCAACAATCGTTTTTCCGAGTCTCTGTTTCGGTTAATTCAGAATTGTAAGACGTAATTCCCGAATTAAGGCTTGAGTGACACATTGTTTTCCCTCGTTTCTTGAAAACTTGTGTTAGGCACACTGAGATAAAACGTACGAGTCGGAATTGAGCAAGGTGCACTCGACCAAACTCAGAGGATTTACAATACCGGGGAATAATGGACACCTTCTTCCGTGCCCTGGCCCGCCCACATCAAGATGTAACGGTGGCTAAACTGAGGAGTAGTTTCTTTTCTGGAAGGATCGAGCTTCCACGGGGCATTATAAGTGGTAGCAGTTCACGCAAGAAATGTCGGTATTGCGTGAGACAGTGCCGTTCCAACCTGTTAGTCTTATCAATCTTTTATCGCTTTTATGGGCAATGTTATTATCAGTTTAACCAGAGCTAATTTGCTCCGGCAATCAATACCCACTCCCTGCCCGTAGTATTTTTTTTCTTTAAGGGTGTACCAGCAAAAAAGGCAAAAGTAAATGGAACAAGAGAACCATGAAAAGTTCTCGAAAAAAATGTTCCAAGTCCTGGTGGGATATACGGCACATGTCTTATCGTAACCATGGCGGATGTGTACGAAATGTATTTATCTTTTGGAGAATCCGAACAACAAACAAAACCCTGTAAATCTTCTTGAGATAACGCTTGATAGGCTCTGAAGTTTGTAAATTAATTTATAGCATTTCAACATAAGCCTCTAGCAAAGAGAAAACCTGCTGCTTTGATACCTGCGTTTAAAGGATACATAGGCCTACGATGCATTTCTTTGTTTTTTGTATCTTTACACTCTTATTCAGTGTAGGAGAATTATTTTACGTATCCTTTTGGGAAAATGTTTTGAAAAGTACACTTTTGTAAACATTTAAAGTCCTCTACTGGGCAGCATTAGCATAAAATCAGAAAAGGCACCAGATTACCTCTTAAAGCAACAAGACAAAATGGAAAAATACAGTTAATTGAAACACAAAAGGTGCGCTTTCAATATGTTAAGCAAAAACAATTGCAATTGTGCAGGTATAGTAAGGTAAAAAGAGCTTGATGACCATGCAGATTTTTTGTTTACTTTTTTAAAGATATCAAAGTTAAAATCAAGCACCTGCCATGACTTTGCTTAACACGAATTTGTCACGTGAGCACAGTTTTGAGCAAGAACACTGTGTTCGAAAACAGTCCGCCTTTCACCCTCAGGCCAAGCCATAGAGCGGGTAGGCCTTCATATATAATTTATTTTTGAGAGAAAACTTGAATATTACTGTATTCTGTACACTGTATGACTGTATGTGCAATCAAGAGAAGTCAGAAAAGTTGTCTGTCCGATCGACGGGCGTTGGGCACGGGCGACCATTTTCATGTATTACTACCCTTATTCTAGGTCGGGCGACAGGATTTACGTCATTTTGGTGGGTTAGAGCGATAGGATTGAATCAGGTAACACGTGGCCGTCACCCTTTTCAAAATATCGCCCCGCATAAGGAGGGAATTAGTGGTGCTGTTGCCCCATTGCTCCATTACGTCGCAGTGTCGCACTATTCCACCACTTAGGATTACTATTCTTCTGCAATTTAGAAGCCTGAAAAGCAGCTGGGAAACAATCAGTGGGAAATAAAAGAACAATATATTGTTGCTTTGGAAGTTGTGGGACTCATAGTAAGGGCGAGTAACCTATGAACGAAAGCGATAATGTGATGCTTTTGCTCGTTTTGACATGATAGAGCGCCCCCACTGGAGTAGATGGGTTGGGATTTTGTCACATACATACAGGCTGTCCACTTCAAAAGTATACCGAGATAAAAATTAATGTAATAGCAAAACTGCTTTATATATGGGAAAGAGAAATATTTCCCTAGAAAGAGCAGAATGCCCTCTTTGCAACAGTATACAGCTTGTGATGTTATCGACACAGATGAGTGAACAAACTAGACCGATGTTAAGGGTACTGAAATCGACACTGTGACATGTTTGCATATATGATTAACAAGACCATGCAAGTGTGCAGAATACCAAATGCCTTTGCTTTAAGAACTGTGAGAAGTTGCATATTGATAACAAAAGTCAGCATGTGGGGTGAAGGCGATTCCTTTTTATGGCGTTACCTGCAGAACAAAAGTTTCACCACACCCTCAGCTAATGTTCAGGAGTTAACGTGCAAGAATAGTGGAAGAAGTCAGTAATCTCCGTCAAGACCTTGAAATGATCAGACGGGACATGTTACGAAGAGACATGCAAGGGACATATTACGAAGATGTCAGATGTGCATTGACAGGAATGGTAGCCATGTGGAGGACTTAGCACATTAAACTGATGAGGTAAGTAGCGAAAACAAAGCAGATACGATTGGTTTATGGAACATTCCTTGTATTCAAGAATGCGTTCTTAAAGCAAATGCATTTGGTATTCTACACACTTGCATGGTCTAGCCTTGTTAATCACACATGCAAACATGTCACAGTGCCGATTTCAGTACCATTAACATCAGTCTAGTTTGTTCAGTCATCGTTGTCAATAACATCACAAGCTGTGTACCATTGCAAAGAGGGCATTCTGCCCTTTCTAGAGATGTATGTATTTCTCTTTCCCATATGTAAAGTAGTTTTGCTCTTACAGTAATTTTTTATCCCGGTATACTTTTTATGTGGACACCAGGTAGATTGGTATCAATTTGATTACTTTGAATCTCCACAACTCAAACAAAGTTTGCATACGGGCGTTTCACAAAAGTGCGCTTCCAAGAGTTTGCAACGCGTTGGCCAATCACAACGGGCGAAATTTGTCGACCCAATGCGCGTTTGGAAAGGGTCGACAAATTTCGCCCGTTGTGATTGGCCAACGCGTTGGAAACCCTTGGAGGCGCACTATTGTGAATCATCCGTATTGCTTTCCTCAGCTCCAAATATAACCAGTCCTAACCACATAATCTTTTTGTACTTTATTGGAGTGGATCTTTTCCTCACCTGCTGCCTGTCGAGCGCAGCAGAGCAGAGCCACTTCGGTATTCTAAGAGCAAACTTAACCCCTCGGACCCCAGTTGGAACAGCGTGTTGTTCCACATTACGAATTCATGAGGACTTGCCGCTCAAACTACGGCGAGTCTGCTTTGTTTTTCTGTTCTTTTTTTACTTTTTTTCTCGCTTTCTTTTTCTTTTGGGCACGAAGAGAACTGCACGCAGAAGCACACAGGATGCTACACGTGTCCTTTGAGAAATGAAGGTTTGGAAAGCATTCTGAATACGTGTTTACGGAAAGTCTTATTCTGGAGGGGGTTTCCTCTCCAAATCATGAACACTGGTGCAGAAACGCCTCGAAGGTAATGTTAATCACAAAGAAAGGTCTGTTCTTTGTGTGTCTCGTTTGTGTTTTAGCGTTTGTTAAGGCTACCACGGTAATTTATGGCCATTTTCCAACTTGGAATTTTAATGTAACACAACCGAGGTGTGTCTGAAATTAAAGGGGGGGGTATACATTGTACGCTTAAGATGACTCGTTGGGGGGTCAATTCAATATTTGCCGACAAGAAGCTGAATTTTAAACCAACGCATGTCATTAACACATCCTGTTTAAATCGTTTCTCTTTTTTCCCGACTAGCAATCATTAGTGCTCTGTACCTAGGTTGCCTAAACCTTTCCTGCAACTAACTGTCCTACATGCGACTAACTTCAAGACTTTTACTGTTATTCTAAATGCAATGGTCTTTCCAAGAAACCTCCTCAGAATCCCGAGTTCATTAGTTGACCCTTGAGGGTAGCTGGCTTCCCATAGCTTGATTGATTGGCAAAGTACTGGGTTCAATCAGCTTGCATTATGTGCATTTAAAGTTGAAGTTCTTAATTTAAGCAAATTAATACACCACCGCCATTTAGCTTGTTACTTTGCATGCGGTGATACACAATTCAGTTTAAATATGCAGTACGTTTGATTACATGGTTTGCAGTTTTAAAAACTTGAAGTATATTTAGAGGTCCAGATTTTAAACATTTGTATTAGCTATATGACACAGTACTTAAACAATTGTTAGTACTATGCATCGGACCACCATTGGGTAATATTCAAGAACATTTCTGCAAGAGTATTCTTTCAAAATTGATAACACACACTTTATTCCTACATAATGCACAATAAATACATTTTAACTTGAACTCAACACGGAATATACGCCCCGAACACTGGGTAAAAGGTTGTCAATAGCTACAGCCTAATACTGCGTAAATACACGATCGAAATCATGACACCCGTGGCATCTACGACGTCAAGAAATCTAAATATAATTACCACAATTTTGCAGAAATTTCAAACGTCGTTAAAAGCTACATTGACTGAGTAATTTAAATATCCCACTGTCTAAATGATTCTATTATTATCATTTTGTTTTCACGAAGCACCGTCTGGAATTTATTTGGGTGGAATTTTAAGCCCTTCCGGGAGGTGTTTTATCCTTCCACAGGCTGCGCTTCATCAAAGGAAAAGTAGTTGTAATTTGAAGTGCCCGGTCGACTGCAGGGCATTCTGGATTGCCTGTGTTGATATGAACTTGAAGCTTTTGTAAACAGAGCGGCCCACGGTTAGGCATACATTACTTTTGTACCTATTGCGCGTGTCCTGACCCGCACTTGTCATTATGTACTTGTGTGATCCATTATCGTAGCGGCGGTAAAGCCCGGCAAAGGTACACATACTTTAAGTGTTGAGATATTGACTACACCGATGTTACGAGGCAATTTGTATGAATGGTGGCAACAAAGCTAAATATTTGAAATATGACAGAGCAAATATATATATATGTGTGTTCGAGGCCAATGCTGCAGTGCGGGTGCTTCTGAGAGCAAAGCGCAAGAAAACAACAGTCATTTCCCGGACATGTGGCGGTCTGTGAGCACTGTTTGATGAGGTCATAAAGTATACTGAAGTTACTAATCCCTGAGAGGTCAGATATCATACCGAACACGATACCTCCAACATCCGGTGAGTACAAACAACTTTAGATTTTATATGCCATTACCCTTACGTCATCCAAAAAGATAGGAAGATGGAGAAAATCTGATATCACTCATCTGTCCCTTGATCTTTCACAAATGAGATTCGGTGAAAATATCAACCATTTTACAGTACAGGTTACAATCCTTGAAGATATTTTCGGCCATCGTCAGCACAAGAAATAGTGAAAGGAAATGTTCAGGCTTATTCCTATTGGTAAGACAATGTCTACCAGGCAAACTGGGCTTTACTTTACTCCGTGAAAACGAGTGTGGGTAAGATAAAAACGACTGCATGCCTCTTCAAAAAAGTTTATTCTCGACAATCAAGCAACTGCTCGGAAGATAAACAAGTTATTGACAGTATTTCTGTTTGCAATATTAATAACAGCTGGTGCAGGAGGCTATTCTGGGGAGTAACGATTTCCCCGATTTGATTCTATAAGAGAACAGTTCAGATGCAGACTGGGCCCTATTTTTCCATCAAACTTCTGACTTTACTTACCAAGCTATATATTCACACGACCAATACTTATCACTTCGTGCCATTGCGAAGCCTTCTAAAACATGTTACGGATGCTTCTTTAATCGTGACATTGTTGTTTGCATAATTATCATGAATTATTCGCAAGCACCGTAATAGGTGACAATAAGTAACCGTGCTAGAATCTCCACCCTATTGAACAAATTTTTAGGTAACACGCACACTGAACGACCAAAAAAGTTAGTTTTAGACAAGGCAAAAAAAATTGCACATTGCTCAAGAGTCACACGGCAAAGCACATCATCCTGGTTTTCAATACAAGAAAACTGTACTTACCTTGGGCCGTAAGAATACTGCATATGATGAGAAGCCACACGATATCCCTCTATGCTTTTATCGCCTTGCAAACACAGAGTGAGAAGAAAAAAATCTGGAGTAAAGTAAAACCCGAGTTGACAAATTATCAAGGCGTGGGTGTATCCCGTGGCAAAAATGTTGATAAAAGGTGTGCCCGATAGCTAGGTATACTAACTGTGCCACGTTTCGCAACTTGAGTGCACGATGGCTGATTGAGAGGTGTGTCCTTATAGCATAAACAGGCCGACCTACTCGGTGGAGCTAAGTGAACGGCGGTGGTGATTGTACAGCGAGTCTGACGAATCAGGAAAGGTTTCCCGACAGATTGAAGTCGCACATTATTATGTGCTGACGACGACTGCTTGTCACTTCAAACAGCGGGTGGGGAGGTGGCACCGACTAAACTGCGCGCGGTCAGATTCCACAAATGGGCGGAGAGTCCTAAGCCTGAAAGGATAATGAAGTGTCTTTGATCTCACTGTGACTTATCAACATCTCCCTGAAGCTCACTCGGCAACTCGCTTGTCAGTCGAGTCAACAAACGCTTGATTAATGCATTTCTGCTGACAATGAAAAACAGATCTTCCATTCATATTTCCCTCTGTAGGAGGCCGCGCACATGCCCGTAAGAGTGCATGTGAAGTTTCGATTCCGGCGATTTTTCCTACGCATATTGTCAAAGCACTCACAGGAACATAAGTGCCGTTGTCACGTGATCTCCAAGTTCATATGTGCCAGCTCGCGTATCGTGTTAAAGCATTATGCATTATATCCAACCAGCCTGCATTCCTCAGCCAGGATTGCAAACTGAATTATTTGGTGGCAAAGCAGGTGGGATTTGCTTTTGTTTGTTTGTTTGTTTTCCCAGTAGTCACAACCGTTGAATATAACCTACGCGGTTTTGTCCTTTGAATTGCACACACCCGCCCCTTTATTTATATTCTGTCAACAAACGTAATCAAGGCTATTAATATTATCCCTTGTGACTGGATTGCGAGCAAAGGCCATTTTAAACTACAGGCGATTGAGAAAACGAATTTGAAAACTCTGTAGCGAAATTTCGCTAGAGTTGCAATGTTCTCAACTTTTACAAATTTGCAGCTGGAATATTTTCTCTGACGTCACGAATTCGCGTTCATGTGCGCTATGGCACGACGTATGAAATTTCGCTAGAGTTGCAATGTTCTCAACTTTTACAAATTTGCAGCTGGAATATTTTCTCTGACGTCACGAATTCGCGTTCATGTGCGCTATGGCACGACGTATGAGCTGGCCTTTAGATTAAATCGTGAAATCAAAGTAACTCTGATGATTTCAGAAATTAGATTTCCCCCACAATTGTTTTGTCTATAATAAACGCGTAGGTATGTTGATATACGCTAATTAGTTAGAGAATCAATTCTATTTGATCGTAGGATTAAATGACCGTGCCATTCATTCTCTTGCGAATTGTATCTCATTTTCAACAAATCTATTTTTCTGAATCTTTGTTTGTTTATGATCTAAAAAGTGTAAAGATTTGTATTAAGGTAAATAGCTTTTTTATGAAGTGACAATAGCAGTGCGCTTTGTACTTGTTATGGATTATTCCGGATCCGCCTCCCCCCTTCGGTCCAAGTCCAAGAGCGAATAGCATCTGACTTTTGTTTCCCGCGTCAAATGAAGGGCATCAACTGTGTATGGGCGACTGTTGTCATTTAAAAACAATACTGTCACATTGTTAACGGCGAGATGTGACAAATCGGTTCGTGTGAGAGATCCTGGCGAGCCAGTTAGGATCTGAGTGTGGTTAATGTCATCGAGAAGCAAACAGCTCACAATTGGGGGAACGCACTCAAAGGCAGCTCATGTGGAAACGCTAACGACAGGTAATGGTAGTTCCTTCCATTGGAACACGCACATTATCCTGTTGGCATGTGATGCGACTTTTCTATAATACTTCCCACAGATAACAAGAAAGGTGCGATTCAGTTCCTATCTTATCTTGATGTTTCTGCAAACATCATCCGCATAATAGTCGCACCTGCTCTGCACCTGATGTGTTATTACCAATAAGAATTTCATCGTTGCAAGAAACCAGAGAATGTGTGAACAAAGCTAGCCCGTCGCGTAGTTTTGCCCATTATGTTTTTACAAATTGAGCGTATATTCGTCGTTGATACTATACTATTGTAACAGACGGATGAGCTTCGTTGAAACTATTTTTTGATCTTCCCTTTCGTGGAACTGTGCAGAATATAAAAACTGAATGAGGTCCACCCACGCGAGAATGCGTGACCTTTTCAATCCAGCGTGGAAAGTAGCCAAACGATATTTAAAAGGATGTTGGTTATAAATATCTACTGTTAGTCAATACTGATACCTGACAAACTCAAACAAATTTCATTCGGCTTTTTTAATAGGTAAGTGGGGATATTGTATGAAGTTACACAATGTACCTATTTGCAGCAAATAACACCTCGAACAGATACCCCAAATCAAACTTGTAGGTTGTACTACAGAAAGAGGACGAGCAGTTGACAAAATTGACATGTTTGACATTGTACAGGGTACTTTTTAAACAGGATTTTCGATCGTCCCGAAAATAAGGGCTTCCACTCCGCCTGGACGATGATTATCATGTAAAATTGAAAGAAAACCGTCACTCGACATACTTTCGAAAGAAATCTGTGGAGGTTTCAACCAAATTGCAGTACATCAACCTCGTAATGGGAATGACCGGAAAAAGATAAGGTAGCTTTTTAATCGTGTCTATAATCATGATATATTACCTGTATACTATTTCATTAATTGCCCATAAATCTTACTTGATCATTACATGTTGTATATATCTCCATTAGTCACTTTCTTATCCGTTTCCTTCCCTTCTTGTTTTGGCACCGGCGTATCCTCTTCGGTCATTGATGATGATACCTCACAACCCCCCTCTCTCTATCTCTCATTTCCTCTTCATCTGCATTTTGCCATATAGCAACTCAAGTAGCAGTCGGTTGCTAAGCTACCACTCATCCTTCTCTTGACGGCATCGGATCACTAATTACATGACAGTCATGGCGAATATTGCTCACGTTATTACCACTCGGTGATTGGACTTTTCAGAGGGGGCAGTTGTCAAATAATTATTTAGCCAGGAGTTTTATTCGAAATTTTCTCGGTGTCCAATATCTGGATAAATTGTGGGATCTAAAAAAACTGTATCGCGAATGGTTGGGTGGATAACGGATGGTCACTTTATTTATTTCAAGTTCACAAAGGCCAATAGGTAAAAGTCTGTACTATAATTTTCAAAGTACTCGAATTTTGTTTTTTTTTAACTTATGGGACTATTAATTAAAATGCAAAGCTGTGAGAGTCACTTAAGTAGCTATCACTTCGAATATACATGTTAAGGTTGAAGTATACACCTAGAGAATAATTAACAAAAAGTTATCCATCGTTACTGAAATAGACGAAATAGTCAAATTCATTGAAACTTACCAAGGGTATCTTTGAAATAATTTATTTTTCTGTGAACGGGAATGTTTGTAACAAAAGAATGTTTACGCTTGAAAATGGACTTTCAGTCGATCATTTGTTTCTCAATGATACGAAGCCACAAAGTCCAGAGCTACAAATGATACGCCGGCGGGATGAATGCCCCCTGGCTGCATTTCGGCTGATAATGTTGTATAATAGAGGCCATAAAAAGCGGCACGCGAATGACAAGTTTAATCTGCAACGTATGCCCGTCGTCTTTGGAGCAGGGGGGAAAAGACAGAGAACAGAGTCTTTCAAGCAACTCGCTCGGAGGGGAAAAACGCGACACGTTCGACTGATGTCAGAGAGACGTGCGTGTATCAGGAAACGCGGCTTGCATTTCAGATTTTGCGCTGTAATTCCCTGTTTTGATGATACTGGGAACCCCGTGCGCGGAAAACCGAGCTTGCCTACGCTGGCCAGTCACTAACCGAGACCGACACATTTCACGGTTTAGAGGTAAGATCTATGATGTAGCATTGACTATTGATTCCTTAATAATCAATTCGACTCTCTGTTTGAGCGTTTGGTTTTCCCCTGGTTGTAGGGAGATTCGCCTGTCTTGGTGTTATTTTCAAAGGGTGATCGTGACGTTGTTGTGTGGAAGACTATGGGCCGTGCGTTGGTACGGTACATTTTAGAAATCAGCATTTGTTTCGGCGCGATAACTATGTACTGTACTTGGATGTGTATGTAGCCTTGACACTGTTTCAGTGGAATTTGGATATTAGGTCTGTAAAATAAAAAGTCAGAACTTCAAAATGTGCCAAGCAACAGTCGCACACTGAGATGTTAGTCAGTTCCAAGCACTATAAACCAAACTTGTACGTGCAATTCTGGAAAAATGAGGTATTCATTAACAGTAGTTTTATATTTGCGATATTCGATTGACTCCCCTGAATCTTAAAGGAAACCTCCATGCTTTTACGGCACTAAAGATAGTACGGATGAGATTTTCTTTTGTTCTTCTCGCTTTCTCAGAAAATGAAACTCACCCGACGATATTTGTTTCGTTTTTTGCCGGTAGAGAACATTTACAGATTGTAGAGGTGCAGACATTAATATTTTAGCCAAAACGCAACGTGAATGGTCACGTTTGAATGATGTCGAATCGAAGTGTTTGAGAAAGTGAAATTTTGACTCTGACTCCACGAATAAATGCATTCCAAGGATTTTATAAAATATATGTTTACACTGAAAACCACAAAAACTCTATCGAAATTTTGTTTTCGGGAATTCGATCACTTTTTTGTTCTATGACCTTTTGGGTGTTTACTATTAATACATTGAATGTACCTCCACTTTTTGAGCTGTTTTATTTGGATAATAATATTGTGATGCTTATTTGAAAGTGCAAAGAAATATCAGATACGGTAATCAACTACAAAATCCCTTTCAAATGGTTAGTTTAAGATTACAACTCACACATTTTGTTTCTTTTGGTTTTACTCTTTCGGCTTTGTCGTCTCGCCAACAGTTTTAAGTACTACATCAACATGTGGACCTCCTCGTTATATGAAGACGTCATGGCTACGGTCATTGCCCGAGTGTTTAATTTCAGACGAACTTTAAAATGCAAGAATCGGTTGTTTTTGCTTTTGAAGAAGAAATATGATAGTTTGTTTCGATAAAATGCGACTTGATTAAGGCTTTTCAGATGCGACTGACAGGGAGGTTAAAAATAATAAACTACATCGCGTAGCATATGAAACAAAAGGGGACAAAAACGCGTTTCGTGTTTCTTTTTATCACCCGCTATGAATACCACATTGATAAGCGGGTGATTTATTAATAGTGAATCAATCTTATTATCTAGGAGGGAACCGAGGGTAGCTGAGGTTTAATGGTGACCCTAGTGGTGGAAATGATTATGGCAGGAAATGATAACAATTATGGTTGTTGTGTAATAGTCGCATTACATTGAATTTCACTCAAGATGATAATGACGATGTTTATCATGATAATGGAAATGAATGAGAACAGAGCAACCCCAGATGAGAACGGTATTTAAAAGCCCCCCCCAAAAAAAAAAATTAAAAAATAGAGAGAAGTTACCCTTTTCATATAAATATTTCCAGGAAATCGGTTCCTGCCAAGTGGCCAACATGTTCTGTGGCTTTACGAGAGGA